GACTTGTACTAGTTTGTATACGAGTACTCTTATTGTTAATAGACCGGTTCGTGTGAGTCATTTTTTACGAGAATACGGATTTCATGGGATTGAGAGAGTTGGTGGCTTGCAATTGGACTGGGCTTTGATCACAGCTCTAGTGGAGAGATGGAGGCCCGAGACCCATTCATTCCATCTTCCATTCGGAGAGGTTGGAATTACTTTGCAGGATGTAGAGGTTTTTCTTGGATTGCCCGTAGATGGCAATCCATTGGCGGGGATGACAGGCCGATCCAGAGATCAGTGGATTCAGATTTGTGAGGACATGATGGGATTGAGGCCTCGAACATCCGACATTACTTCTACTATGATTAAGATGTCTGCCATTGTTCCTAAGGAACTATCAGATCAGAGTTTAGATGTAGATTACTTGCAGCATGCTAGAGCCATTATGTTTAAGTTGTTGGGCGGTAGCCTATTTCCCAACACGACGGGAAATAGGGTTAGTTTGTATCTTTTAGAGATTATCATGGGTGACACAAACATTGTGCGAGGTCGTGCGATTGGTTCGGCAGTACTCAGTTACTTGTACCGTAGCATGTGTCGTGCTAGTGCGACGAGTGCAGCACAGATTGGAGGTTGTCTAGTCTTGTTACAGCTTTGGGCTTGGGAGCGTCTGCCTATGACTAGACCTAGAGGGGTTATACCATTGGATCAGCTGGTAGATGTCCCATATGGAGTCAGGTATTTGTAGTTTATTTATGTATATTATAAAATCATATTGTATGTTTCATTCATGGTTGTGCATAATCCTTCACTTGCAGATGGGTGTGCTACCATCGATGGTCAGATTGTACCACACACTCCATACGAGCATACAGGGACCAGCTTGACAGATTGCTCGAGGGAGAGGTGAGTATTTAGAATATTAAGATGTTATACATATATATTTTAGTTTGAATGTGTATCTTAGTACATGTTTATGCATGCAGTTTGTTTGGATGCCGTATCCGAATCTCGAGACCCTACCGCCCTATTGTTCAGCTGGAGTCGGAATATGGATCTCTAGAATCCCCTTGATCTATGCGTACGTAGTGGAGATGTACTATCCTGATCGCTTTTGCAGGCAGTTTAATGCCCTACAACAAGTCCCTCAAGTTGTTGTCTATGATCGTCATCTACATCAAATTAAGTCAAATGTTATGCAAATTGGCGATGGTGAGAGACAGTATTTAGAGATGTGGGAGGGGCGCTATGACGCTACAGTGCATATGGAGTTTGGGTTGGTGGATGCCACACCACAGTATCGTCAATGGTACTACCTTCGGGGTCGACGACAAATAGGGAACCCAGCCCATCAGCACGGACCAGGGTACATCCCCATTTCTCCGGAGCTACAGACAGCAGTAAGTATTCATTAAAGTACATATCTCTAAGTTAAATTTTTTTAAACTAATCAATAATGTTGTATGTAGTTATACTGTATGGCGGATTGTAGTCAGCGCCTTGATCCTGGTAGGCATCCAGATGGGTTTGTACCTTCGCACGAGGTATTGAGAGTTCATGAGTTGTTAACAGAGTGTGTTCGTGCACTGGGACATGCATCTATCCTTGATCACCCACAAGAGCAGCATGCCTACAACCCAGGACATATCAGGAGACGGGCAGATAGAAGGCGTGATGCACCTGCTGTCGGAGTCAGACGTGGAGGGCGGGGTAGTCGGAGGTTGCAGGTCGATGATGAAGATGTACACATCCCCATTCAATCTCCCCCTATGACCCAGGATGATGATGATGAAGATGATGGTGAAGAAGAACATATTCAGAGTGACACACACACACCTTCTTGCATGGGTGAGCCGTCTAGTTCACATCCACTTGAATTCCACATAGAGCATCCTCCGAGGCGCATGCACGATGTATCACCAGTGACGTTTCATGGAGATGTGTTTAGGAGCGATTTCTTTACTCAGGAAAGTCAGCTCACAAATGAGTTTGGAGAGTTTGTCTCCACTACTACACCACCGGTAATCCAGCAGACAGTGGATGACGTAGAAGTGGAGGGTGAAGGAGAGCAGGGTATTCGTCCACGACGTAATAGACGTCGTCCACGTTGTGGTACTGGTAGCCACTATCTTTAGTAGTTTTTTACATTTAATATATTGTGCTGGGTACTTTATGTTTTGAGATTCAAAACCATTTGTTTAGATATTCGTTTATGTTGAAATATTTGGTTTGATAACTTATTTTTTTACGGTGTTATGTTCAAATCTGACAATAATAATCACACCCACCTAAACCTACCTGACAATAATACTCACACTCACCCAAATAAATTAATACTCACTCTCACCTACCCTACAAAAATAATATTAATAATAATACCCACTCCCAACTACCCCACTATAATAATATCCACCTAAATAATAATACCCACTCCCAACTACCCCACTATAATAATATCCACGTAAATAATAATACCCACTCCCAACTACCCCACTATAATAATATCCACCGAAATAATAATACCCACTCCCAACTACCCCACTATAATAATATCCACCCATCTCGCACCTACCCAAATACACACACCCACCTAACTAAAATAATACTCACCCCCAACTAACCTCACTCTCAACTAACCTCACTCTACAATATTATAAATACCACTACCTTCTTCATTTCAAATACACCATCACCATTACTCTACACACCGAAATAAACAATGTCACAAGAGAATACTATACTTCTTGTAGCTCATTGGAATGGTGAGATACAAACCCTTAATAGTGAAGTTCAATACTCTGAGCTTCCGAAAAAGTCTTTGTTGATTAATTCTGATATCTCCTACGACACCTTTCTTGGTCAAATTACTAGTGATGTTCTTGAAGATGGATTCCAAGGCGTGGAATCTGTCTATGGTAAATTCCCCAGACATCAATCTGGGGTTTATGTTGGTTCATGACCTATCCCAATCAACGATGAACCAACATGGAGGCATTTTATACGGAAAGCATCACGCGAATACGATGTAGTTGAAGTATTCATAGGGGTGTCCAAAAATGTTGAGGAGGAAACGGATGGTCATCCATTCTTTCACCAACAAATGGATGAACCCTCTTCATCCCATTTCGCTCAACATGTTGATAGCGATCTAGATGATGCTGAGTATTTTGCACCATCAACGGAAGATGAGAAATCTTCAGAAGAGGAAGAGGACATATCTACAGATGAAGAAGAAGATGGCCAGGACCTTCGTGCAATACCCCAATTACATGACCGACAAAGTCACGTACCAAATATGTCGTTGAGGCCAACGTTCCACATCCCAATTATTGAGGTCGGCAACAGGTATCCTTCTTTCCAAAGTCTACAACAAGCTGTGTCTTTACGGAACATTGCGGAGCATAGACACTTTCACACAGAAGCGAAACGGAGCAGCTATTGGAAAGCACGTTGTGTATATGCCCCGCAATGCACTTGGTTCATACAAGCAGCAGAGAATGCTGGGTGTAGTATATGGACCATAAAGCAATATCAGGGGTACCACCAGTGTAGGCCGGATTACACGCGAGCTAAGGATGACAAATTGTTAACTAGTGAGCTCATTAGTGGCTTGATTGGTCCTAAAATTGAAGAAGATGCTGATTATAAAGTCAAACTCATAATGAGGGATGTTTATGAGTTGTTCCAAGTATCCGTCTCCTATAAGAAGGCATGGTGTGCAAAGTCATTGGCCATTCAACGATTGTACGGTAGTTGGGAGGACTCATACAACAAGCTGGCTCCTTTGCTCGGTGCAATAATGGGATCAAACCAGGGGACAGTTGTGGATTTGCAAACCCTACCTACGAATGCACCGACTACATTTCAGTTCAGGTATGTTTTTTGGGCTTTCAAGGCATCCATTGATGGCTTCCACTACTGTCTTCCAGTTATTTCAGTGGACGGGACTCACTTATACGGAAAGTATAAGGGAACTTTATTAATTG